TGTGTTTTACAAAATGTATGCTCGATACTAATAGGCAGAAGGTTAGTAGAAGGTTGGGCCTATGGAGTGGGTTGCCAAGACGGCTACTAGTCTTTAAGGGGATTGGTTATGGTAGTGGTTTTCGGTGATGGCCTATGTGGCGTCACAAGTTGTGCCCTACACATTTTCATTAAAAAGCAAGAAGGACAATGAGACCCTAGGGTGCAAGACCCAAAAGGTTTCCCGGGGATGGTTGATGCGTGAACCAGTGTGATTGACTACATTGTCCATAAGAAAGACATGCATGGTATTTGCTATGATGGTTGAGCTTTAATTTATACCTTGTATATTTCTAATGTTGAAGTGTTGGGAGATTTTTATAAATGCTTTACTTATTATCTTGTACCTGAATTTAATTATAGAAAGCTTTCATTACTTATTCGTATGATTTGTGGAATGTTGGTTTTTCAAACTTTGTAAATGATTGGGAAAAAGATTATCCTACTGAGCATGTGGTTGCTCATCCCTTACTAATATTTTTAGAGACTAGCATGCATCTTAGGACATAAGTGATGGAATGCTTGTGGGAGCTTGGACTAGAAAGAATCTCTTTTGAAGTTTTTTTGTATTTACCTTTAGAACTTATGTAGAGATGTTAGCACTCAAGTATTATATTTGAAAAGGTTGTCTTAAGACATTTATGGTGTACACTTGATCATCCCATAGAAAAATTATTATTTTGGGTATTGTAATGTATAGTTATGACTTTGGGTACAAAGTTGTGGTATATATTGGTGTTGGATGTATCTGGGCTTGGGAGGACTTCGTGAGCCTCTAATTGCCACCACGGATTTAGTTGAATTATATTTTTGATGGAGGCATGTTGTGGATGTTTAGTTAGTTTAAATCATGTTATGCTCTCACAGGGATGCTTGTACTAGCTAGTTGGAAGCCTAATTTTCAAAGGAAACTCTACCAGAATTTTTGAAAAAAAAAAGTATATGTTTTGATAAAAAAAAATCCAATGTTTCATTTTATTCAATTATTATTGTAAACCGGCAAGAGAATTTGGGGTAAATATTTATTTTATTAAATCACACTTTAATGAAAATTGGGGCGTGACAACTTCCTTTCTTTTTGGCTGTGGTAATAGTTAGCGTCTACGGGATGGTGACACCATGTCATTATTAGTACACAGTATCACCTGTCAATACTAAACCAATATATAAACAATTAAACATCATTTAATTTAGTAACTAACCACAAGTTTCACTTTATTCATGTTTATTATCGAATAATAACACTATGAGACAATAATAACATGGTATTAGCTTGATGGAATTATGTACTCGGTCTATGGTTCTAAGTCCCCAAAAAGACCCTTATGGATCGTTTGTTTAGCAGGAGAATAGTAAAAAATGCAAGAAAGGGAAATTTTTAAAATTTTCATGTGTTTGGTTAACATGAAAAGGAAATGATAGAAAAAAATAGTAGGGGCCTAAGAATATGACATTTAAATGTCTTCATTGAAAGAGAAATAGGGGTCTTTTGCTTTGAATCCAAAGCTTCAAGAAGATCTACATTGTACTCAAAACATCCCGCTACATCATCCTGAATAACATGAACAAGCATATAAGAGCATCATACATTACCAAAAAATGTTCTGCCCTATTGTTAGGAGCCTTATGTTGTACTGTAAGCATATGATTAACTCATCCTAATGACATTGGAAGACCAATCAACCACGATTGCTATCCATTCTGAGAACTTCCAACGAAGAGTGTTATTTACAGCATCTAACATCACATGACTATTTGTGTGCATAGTGTCATATCTTCCAAATGTCCCATGAACAGAATCCAATACCAGTAAATGGAAATGAAAACTTCTTTTGCTAGAATTTAGTTATATTTACTAGATTTGTGGCAAGAATTGAATTTGGTGGCAAAGCCACAAACCAAAGCTGTAAATTCCTTTGAGATGTACATACACACTCACACATAGACAGATGTAAACAAACAAAAATAACCAAGATGTGTGTAGGGTAGGCATAAGCAATTAGACAAACACACAAATTTATAACCATCTCACCTCATCATCATCTTTTGCAATGTTGGGCATTGAAACAAAAGGTTGTTCTGCTAGACGGAACCATTTGGAATTCCCTCTCTTGAGGTGTACAAATCCCCCAAGCCCCAATCAAGTCCATATGAATTATAGATAATCCAATAGTCATGACCGTATTTATTTGTGTCATATCCTACTAATAATACGTCATGTCTCCTATTGAGAACTCATCAAGGTTATATTCATAGTCATATTTTGTCCTCTACCTGACAAACTTCTCGTAATGACAATCCTCTTCTCCGCCATAAATGCCCCCAACGTACTTATCAACTTATATCCAACATTATTACCAATACACACTGGGCCATCCTTGAGCAGCTGATATAACATATATTCATAATTGTTTTTTATGCAATCCAATTTATCTATCCTAATTCTTCTTGCACCAGTACCAAAAAAAAAAACCAATTAGTAAAATAAACATAAAGAAAAAAATAAATAAAGAGCGAGCGAGCGAGCAAGTAAGTAACTTACACCAATGTAACTCCTAGATGGAGACCCCACATACGGATAATCCCTTTCTAAAGCTACTCCATATTTTATAATCCACCTCAAACAAGCCAACGAGTTCCCACCTTTGTAGTTCCTTCCGATGCATTTCAGGTCTCTTGAACATGTTCTTTTTTTGAGATAAAATGGGCATTCTCTACAACAGTCGTTGCGGATGCTGCAAAACATCTCGTAGAGTTACCCTGGTGTATGACATTTAGAGTAAAACCCCTCCGCCAATCCAGTCGATCCAAATGACTATTACTCCATTTCTGCTGCACATTCAATATTCATTTTTAGAAATTAGTTTGAATAGTACACTGGCTGATTGAATGAAAACATCTAATACTGACAAGATAACATAAACAACTTAAGAAGAGCATAAAAAAGCATAATAGCTACGCTGGCTGATTGAATGAAAGAAAGTCAATTAAATGGTTCTAACATTTTAGAAGAAGACTGGTGGCAGGATTGGTTAAAAAATTGGAAAGGTGGTAGAAGAGAAGATATGAGAAGGTTATGTCGAGATTAATAAAACTGAAATCCCACGTGTTGACAATATATGCAAATTTTATGGGAGAAGTAGCCAAGCCATAAAGAAAAAAAGAAATTCATCCTGGTTAAAAAGTTGAGGTTGCTCGTATGACACTTTGCATCAACACTTATAGTGTTAGTGCCACATTTTTAACTTGTCTTAGGATTGCTCCATTGTCAGCCTCCCTACCTTGCCATGAAACAATTTGTGTTTGATCAAAAGACTCCAAAGACTCACACCGAGTACACTATGAAATAAGGTGTTAGAGTAGTCCTTCTTGTGGATTATGCTTACCCTCAGAAAAATTAGGACTCAAAAAAAGTTCTCAAATTGAACTTTTGACAATCACTCAATTGATCAATTGTTTAACATCATGACGTAGAGTTCTTTAGCACAATTTCCTCTGAACATAACATTTGCCCAAAATTCTTGGACAATTACTTAACATACATAAGATGTAAATTTCAAGCTATGTTCATGTGTGAAATCTTCTACAATAAGAAATCAAAAAAAAATAAATTACATATTACCAAAGGGAGACGACGGAGATGGTTTTAGGGTGATGCATTGACTCCTCTATAGACAAAATTTTAATAGATAGATTTGATTTCTCTTGAAATAAATTCTTGAGTAATAAATGCATGCAAATATTTATTTCTATAATTCAAAGGGTCAAAGAACGATTTATATGCAACAATGTAGAAGTGAACAAACAATGGAACTGAATACTTACCCGGGGAGAGAATTTCATATGAGACCCTCATCAATATTTTAGAAAGATAATAAAAACTTTCATGATTATTAGACATTTACAAAGAATTTCGGTGTGGTTTAGTTTCAATGTTTGAGTGGTTTTAGGATCGGATGAGATCGAACAATCAATTGGGTGCAATTATGAAGTCGGGATCTTACACATGAATAAATTAATTGGAGTCTTGAAGATAGAACAAAAATAGTTAGAGATAAGAACAAAGATAGAAATACAATTAGAATGGGAGGGAGATAGAGATTTGGAAAGAGGCAGTGAGAGTGTAGAAAAGAAAATTGTGAAAGGAATTTGAGAAACAGTGTTAGTTATAACGCTAGAAGTCATTACTTTTAGGGTTTTTTAGAAAGTTTTGTCACATTTTAGGGTTTTCTATAAAGTTTTATATAGACTTAAAGATATTGTTATATTTTAGGGTTTTTTTACAAGGGATCGTTTGTTTAGTGGGACAATAGTATAAAATACAAGAAAGAGAAATTCTTTAAAATTTTTATGTGTTTGGTTAACATGAAAAGTAAAATAATAGAAATAATAATTTTCTTTCATGATTGAATTTTTTCACAAATAACAAACTTTTTTTCTTGTAAAAAATACAAGGAAATGTAAGAAAGTTGTGAACTATAACTAATTTTTTATTTTATTATTATTTTTCTTAAAATATTTTATTGGTTATTAATTTTAAAAAATTTTTGTATGAATTTGATTAATCATATAATTTGACTCAAAGACCTTTGTGTTGATGATTGTCTTATAATTAGGTTTCGAGCAATTTTTTAAAAATTTTTTAACTTTCAATTATAATTATATTTTTTTAAATCGATTTAATATAATTAAGGATAATTTAGATAATTATAAAAAAAATTATAACTTTACTTTTTTTCAAATAATAGAATAAAATTTTTTCAAAACTTTTCCGTAAATTTTTCTTTCAAACCAAATGCATATATGAAAATATGTTTTTTATCATTTTTTTTTTCACTTCACTTTCTATTAATTATATTTTTTATTATTTTTTTCCACTAAACCAAACGAATCCTAAACCCTAAAGACCCCAAAAAGACCTGAAATTCAAGTTAAGGACCCTAACCCCGCAATCCTACGCCTCCACTCTGTCACACACAGTGGAACTGAGGCTCCCTCCTTCCCTCTCCGTCTCTCTTTCTAAAGCCCTAGATTGCAACGATAACGTCTCTTCTAATTTCATATGAGGATCCAAATTTAGTCCTATATCCCATTCCATCTCACACTCTCTACAGTACGAATCCCACAAATCAACTCACAAACACCCAGAAATGGCCTACATCTCTGCTTCAAAATCCCCTTATCTAATTCATAGACTTTCTTATGAACTCTCCACAATTTTAACTCCATTTTCCTCCAAATCTCTCCTTTACTTTTGCTCATCAGCTTCGCCAGAGCCGCCAAACCCAGACCCGGAAATCCCTATTTCAGAAACACCAATTTCAGCCCCATCAATCGGATCGGAAAGCCTGAATGATGTTGCAACAGTGAATCGAAGATCCCCAAGAGGTAAGACTCAAATCACAGAGAAATTAGAGGATACCATATGTAGAATGATGGCTAACCGAGCTTGGACCACTCGTTTGCAGAACTCTATTAGGAATATGGTGCCTGAATTTGATAATGAACTTGTTTATAATGTATTGCATAGTGCCAAGAACCCGGAGCACGCGCTCCAGTTCTTCCGCTGGGTTGAACGGTCTGGCTTGTTCCAACACAATAGGGAGACCCATTTCAAGATAATTGAGATTTTGGGCCGAGCATCGAAACTAAACCATGCTAGGTGTATACTATTGGATATGCCAAAGAAGGGTGTGGAATGGGATGAAGATTTGTGGGTTATGCTGATTGATAGTTACGGCAAGGCGGGAATTGTTCAAGAGAGTGTGAAGTTGTTTCAGAAAATGGAGGAGTTGGGTGTTGAAAAGACGATAAAATCATATGATAGCTTGTTTAAGGTGATATTGAGGAGGGGAAGGTATATGATGGCGAAAAGATATTTTAATAAGATGTTGAGTGAGGGTATTGTGCCTACTCGCCATACATATAATATTATGATTTGGGGTTTCTTTCTATCATCGAAGGTTGAGACTGCTGAACGATTTTTTGAGGATATGAAGAGTGGAGATATTTCACCTGATGTGGTTACTTACAATACAATGATTAATGGGTATTATCGAGGGAAGAAAATGGAGCAGGCAGAGAAGTTTTTTCTGGAGATGAAGGCAAGGAATGTAAAGCCGACGGTAATTACTTATACGACCATGATTAAAGGGTATGTTTCAGTAGGGCTTGTTGGTGATGCTTTGAGATTAATGGAAGAAATGAAAAGTTTTGGCATTAAACCAAATGCGATTACATACTCGACCTTGTTGCCAGGGCTGTGTGATGCAGAGAAGATGTCTGAAGCACGAACTATTTTGGAGGAGATGGTGGAAAAATACATTGCTCCCAAGGATAATTCAATCTTCATAAGGCTGATATCTGGTCAGTGCAAAGCAGGTGATCTGGATGCAGCTGCAGATGTGCTCAAGGCGATGATTAGGTTGAGTATCCCAACAGAGGCTGGGCACTATGGTGTCTTGATTGAGAATTTTTGCAAGGCTGGGGTGTGTGATCGAGCTGTTAAATTGTTGGATAAGCTTATTGAGAAGGAAATTATCTTTCGGCTACAGAGTACTTTAAATATGGAGCCAAGTGCTTATAACCTGATGATTGAATATCTTTGCAGCAATGGTCAGACAGAAAAAGCTGAAACCTTTTACCGACAATTGATGAAAATGGGTGTCCAGGATCCAGTTGCCTTCAATTATCTGATCGGTGGGCATTCAAAGGAAGGGACTCCTGATTCAGCCATGGAACTTGTGAAAATAATGGTAAGGAGAAAAGTTCCCTTCCAAGGAAGTGCTTTCAAATCCCTCGTCCAGAGTTACTTGAAGAAAGGTGAGCCAGCTGATGCTAAAACAGCTATGGATAGCATGATTGAAAATGGGCATCTTCCAGATTCATCATTATATAGAGCAGTGATGGAGAGTTTGTTTGAAGAGGGAAGGGTTCAAACGGCGAGCCGGGTGATGAATACTATGGTAGAGAAGGGAGTGAAGGAGCACATGGACTTGGTTGCTAAGATTTTAGAGGCTCTCCTCATGAGGGGTCATGTTGACGAAGCACTTGGACGAATTGAACTGTTGATGCATGCCGGATGTGCACCTGATTTTGATAGTCTTTTGTCTGTTCTCTGTGAGAAAGGAAAGACTATAGCTGCTCTAAAGCTATTAGATTTTGGTTTGGAGAGAGACATTAACTTGGACTTTTCGAGCTATGATAAAGTGTTGGATGCTCTCTTAGCAGCTGGAAAGACCCTTAATGCATATTCAATTTTATGCAAAATTATGGAAAAAGGAGGGGTCACAGATCAAAGCAGTTATGAGGACTTGATCAAGAGCCTTAATGAGGAGGGGAACACAAAGCAAGCAGATATTCTTTCAAGGATGATCACGGGGAAGGATAAGACCCTCGGTAGCAAGAAAGGGAAGAAACAGGCATTTATGGCTCCCCGACTTTCGTAGTTTTATTTTCTGCATTTCTAAATGGGAATGAGAGGTTTACTTTTTGTCAGAATAAGTTTTGAGGAATTCAGTGTAACGTGTTCTTGTTTTCCATTTGAATCTGGGGTTAATCACATTTATGCAATTTTTTTGTTTCTTGTCGAGCTATTTACCACAAGAGAACAACACACTTGGTCAAATGGGAGAAAGTTTTAAGTGAATATAGATCAAATTCTTGAGCATTTCAATGATTTCCGGTCTTTCTGGCCTGTATCTGGAGTTTTACTATTATTGAATTACTTATGCCTTGTATGGTGTCTCTTGGGAGATTCTTCAAATATTTGAATGCATCTAGATATTATTGTTTACACAAAACCCCTCGCTCCAACTCCAAATTTTTGCGTTCATTCTTCTGTCCTTGTTTTCAGAATATTCATTGATTGTGTACAGAGTGGAACGTGTGTTATGAGGTCTGGTCTGAACTACAAGGCTCTGAAGGATAATGTGGCTACTTTAGGGAAAAGAGAAAGGTAGGTTACACAGAAGGGTTATAATGGTTCATTGGCTTGGGAGCTCGGTTAATTCACTTTTCAAGAAAGACTCTTGCTCCTGTAGATGTTATTAAAGACATAAGAGAATTACACAGATTTCTTGATGCTAAGCTCTTTGTCCCCCATATTGAGGACTTTGTACTGTATTTAAAGCTTAATTCCTAGTTTCATGGAGTTTGGAGGGAGATCTTTGCCTCCCTTCTAGGTATCATCAGTTGTCCACCAGTCCCTGGTCAAAGTAAATTTGAGCAGGGGGTTGAGTTGAGGTTGGGTTGAGCTAGGCCTCCACTAGCTGACCTCGATTCATCCGTTATAGGACGCAATTTGAACGATTATGCTGAACGTGTAATCATTCCTTCCTCATTTCTTGCGCACGCCTCACACTTCGAAATCCCACGTTCAACAAGCTTTAAGTGCTCCATTAGTGAGGGAACTGCCTCACTTTCCTTTTCATCTTCTCTCAGACCTCACTCCTCCTGCTTCCCTGCAATTCTCAACTGGTGATCTTAAGTTTTTGCTGAAAATCAACCTCCTTCGATTTGGCTCGAAGATTCTGTGAGACTTGCTCTCCGATTTCGCTTTGGACTTTGGTTTATCGCTCACTCTTAATTAGGTATGCTTCTTGGCCTTTGATTATTTCTTCGTTCTATATCCCTCAAATTCGAGGTGGTTGCTGCATTTTTGGACCTTCTCTTTTTGCTACTTTAGGAACCGAGGCTATTCTTTGTCCTCTTTTCCCCTCTTTCTAGATCCTTACTCTACTGCTAGAGTCTTTCTCACCGGTCGTTGCTATCTTGACCTTCTCAAGGATTGTTTCGCAAGCGTCCCTTTTCCTTACTCCTCCTTTTATCTCCCTTTTTTCAACCCTATCATGTCTGGTTCTTCCGAAGCTACTGTTTCATCGGTTTCTCTTGCCATGGATGAGAGGTCTGCTAGAGAAGAGGACATTGACCTAGGAAACATAGGTGAGGAAATTGATAATTTCACTGGTGTTGATTCTATCGATGCCGGGGAAGAAATCGAGGAGCTCCCCCCATCATCCTCCCCAGTGCCAAAGAAATCCAGAAAAGGCAAAGTCAAAGTGAGTGACGTTGGGATTACTGGCAATGCTGATGTTGCAAAGGTTACCCCCAAAGCTTCTGACCTCGTAGGTTTTAGTGAGGTCTCGCCCCTTTTATGAAGGTTTTATCTACTCGTTTCGATTTTCCCCAAGGTATGCAATACTGGTGTTCTCATGTGGACGTCAGGTACGACTCTCAAATCATCAAGAAGGTCTGTTTTTTTGTAATCGCTTTCGAGAATGGCCTTCGTTTTCCAATTCACCCTTTTCTCAAGAGCGTCTTTCAACATTTTAACATCTGCCCCGCTCAACTCTCCCCCTCTCCCCCAATTTTTGAGGTGTTCTGGTAGGTCTCCTTGCTTTCTTCAAGAAGCATGAGCTTGGAGTTCTTGCTGTGCATTTACACATGAAATTCTTCAATGTCAAGTTTACCGTTTCCGATGGCTGCCTATATATTTCTAAACAGGTAAAAGTCCAAGCCATCATCACCGATCTCTTGAGCTCCCACAAGCGTGGGAGGAAGTTCTTCTTTTTCGTGTCAGGAAGAGAGTGGGAATACAAACGAAGGTTGACCAGCTGAAAAAAACTAGGAGTAGGAGCAAGCGCAAGGCAGAGGTCGAGTCGGGAAGTGGTGTTGCCCCCCCCCCCAGTCAAGGTGCCGAGGTCAGAGGTGCCTCCTGCCTCTCCCCTTACGTCCTAAGTGGCTCTTATTCTGCCATCGAGCTCACCGAAGTCCGCATAGAGCTCACTTTCTCAAGGGACTGTGTCTTCCTCGTCTGGAGGGGAGCCAGAACAAATCGTGGTACCAACCTCTTCTTCCCCAGCAGAGGTCGAGGAGGCTTTGGAGACGATTGCTCGCATTCTGTCCGCGTATACCCCTTCTAAGTCGGTTGAGAAGTCTCATTAGCTGCTTTCTGAAGGGCCCTAAAGTTGAGAAAGACCAGGGTTGCCTCATTGATAATGTGAAACTTGCTGCGGAGGCCATTGCCGCCATCATCCCTAAGTCTGATATTCAGAGGGTTGTCACTATGTCTCTTGGGACTTTTGTCGTCATGGCCTTATATGGAGCTGTTTTGGTAAGTTTCTAGTCTTTTCAAGTTCTATTTTTCCTTACTTTGCTACTTCAAGCTGACTTCAGCTTTTGGTTGTGCCTCGTTCCTAGTTGGCCATTGACGTGAGCGCCTTGGTGAGTTGGGTCAGAGCTCTAGAGAGCTCAGCTATGGCATTGAAGGCCTTCGAACTCAAAACTGCCGAATTGGCTTTCGCCAATAATGACCTCGAAACTCAGGTTTAGGACCTGCGAGCTCAAGTGGAGAGGTTGTCTTCTACCAATACAAGCTTGGAGGCTGAGAAAGGGAAAGCTAAGGATAAGTCCAGAAAGGCGAAGGAGGAGCTCAGGTCGAAAACCAACAACTGGGTTAAGGCTCACAAGGAAGCTTTGGAGGCCTTGGAGTCTTATGGGGCCATGAAGAAAGAGTACGACCTTCTGGGTGAAGTAAACGATACTCTTCAAGAGAGAGATTGAGGTGGAGAAAGTTACTAATAAACAGAAGGACGCTCTGATTGCCAAACTGGATGATGATGTCACTACCAAATGGGTCACTAGATAGCTTGTTTTTCAGGATCATTGTGCAAAAGTATCTAGACTTGGACTTTGATTTTGATCCCCTTCAAACAAGGATGAGGATATGCCAAGTGTTGAGGAAGAGGCTGAAGTTTTAGCTTCCTCCATTCCCAAGCTCACTCCTGGGGGTGTTGAGATTGCTACCTTTTCTGTCAAGGTCCTTGTCCATGCGGATTCTTCTACTCCAGCTACTCTTGTAGCTTTTGATTCTACCCCAGCTTCCACCTCTGCGAGTGCCGAGTTGCCTGTGACTCCTGCTGATCTTGCTCTAACCAATGCTCTTGAGGCTCCTGCACTATCTGAGGTTATTCTCCCTTTAATCGTTCCTAAGCTATCTGGGGTTCCTCTTACTACCGCTGAGCTGTCAAACACCTCTTCTGCTCTTGCTGTAGAAACTTAGGATTTTTGATGAACTGTTTGTTTTTTTTTTTTTTTAAAGAACTCTAGAAATCAGCTCTTTATGAGAAAATGTAAATGTTCTTGTATGTAGACGTTTTCATTTTGTTGGTGCCCCTTGTGCTCTTCTAACTGTTATGTTTTTTCCATTCTACCTACTTTCCTTGCCCCCTACTTCGAGAAGAATTTCGTTCTTTTTGAAGTAGACCTGAAGAGCTAAAGGTTTGTGGAGTATAGTGGCTTAGGCCTTAACTTTGAAGGGACTCATTCTTGTAAGTTGAGAAGCCTCGGATCCGAAGTGCCTATCTTTATAAGCTGAAGAGTCGTATATTCCCTCGAGTTGTGGAGAGCTCAACCTTTATGAGCTGGAAAGTTTAATCTACTTTCCTTGCAGGAGTTCTTCCCCTAGTTAAGGTATAATGTCAATACTTGAGGTCTGTGTATATCAGGCTGAAGAGCACTCCACCGGGCAGACCTGATCTGCTTTTATCTGAGCTTCTCTTACCCGAGCTGAGCTGCTCATTTGAGCTCTAGCTTTTTGATATGGAGAGTGATAGTTTGACTTATTCGCACTCACCTACCTTCTTAAAACACCTCCACTGTAATGATTATGGAAACGCAAAGAGCCACCTGTTCATCTTCCCACGTTTCTTGTCCCTTTAAATTCGTAATTCCCTAATGTTTTCGCAAAATTTGGGATATCTTTGTTATCTACAAGTCTTGGGACTTCTTCTTGCCTATAAATCTTGGGACCACGTTTCTTGTTTTCCTTGGGTTTCTTTCTGATTTACATGGCTTCCTCTTCTTTTTCCTTGTTCAAACAATGAGCCCAAGCCACGATTGACATGAAGTGGCATTCTAACTATTTGATTCCTTCAGTAATTACCTCTACAGAGTTAGAGGAGATCAAGAAGCAATATTTTCTTCCTGCAGGCTTACCCTTTTGGGTTCCTACTTCTGATGAGCCCTGTAATTATCTCCCCTCTCAAGAAACCTGTTTCTTTGAAAGTGTTTTCGAGATGGGCATTTGCCTACCTATTCATCTTGCCATTGGGTGGGTCTTGGCTTTCTTTGGGTTATGCCCCTCTCGTCTCTCTCTTGAAGGATAGGGTGCTAAATCACCTTTTTAATCCTCTGGCATCTGCAAGGCAACGATGAGTTCCAACCATTGCCGAATTTCTGTATTTTTATGAACTGGACTATGACATGCCCTCTACTTTAGTCACTTCATATGGAGGCGCCACTTCGACCCTTTGTTGACTTTGGACATCCCTCATTCTCCCGAAGGTTGAACTCGGCATTTTTTCTTCGCCTCTAGGGACTCCTGGAGGTCTGTGAAGCAGCAATGCTCACATTCTCAAGTCCCTCGCTCCTGAGCGCGTTTCTCTCATAAAGGTAGAGGCTTATGACCTGCCTGTTTTAACTTATGAGCAATTGGATTGGTTCTGACTGTGTTTTTTTTGTATAGGTGCTCCTAGGGCTGAGATGGTGAAGGTTAGACAGGTGGTTCATGTTGAGCCTGTTCTTTTTTTAGTGTTTGTTACTCTGCAAAACCTTTTTTGGTTCATTGTTACTACTGCTACCCTAGAGGTTGTCTTACACCCTCTTGAACTTGAAGAGTAATCTTCTTCTGTAGAATCGAATAAGGACGAGGATGTAGCTGCGCCTTCAAGGAAATGCAAAAAGAAGTGTCAGCG